TGACTGGTGTTTGCTTCTTTTTTTTTTCCAAAGAGAAGCATGATTAAAGGAAATGTCACAATCACTGAGAGAAAAGCTGGGTCACAGTTTTACTGACTGTGATGCTAAGACATTGTCTACACTACAGTTTAGCGGTGGACATAGCTACAGTGATTAGAGCTGAACTGGTGCAAACCCAGGACTGCCAACTTCAAGCATTCAAGTTTTTAGATCTATCAGCTGCCCCACCCCACTTCACTTTGAAAAGGCTGCTGTTTGACCACAGAAAGAAGTTACTGAACCTATGTTCTCTGGTGACTGGTGTTTGCTTCTTTTTTTTTTCCAAAGAGAAGCATGATTAAAGGAAATGTCACAATCACTGAGAGAAAAGCTGGGTCACAGTTTTACTGACTGTGATGCTAAGACATTGTCTACACTACAGTTTAGCGGTGGACATAACTACAGCGATTAGAGCTGAACAGGTGCAAACCCAGGACTGCCAACTTCAAGCATTCAAAAATCACACGATCAAAGAGTTCAAGCTTGTGGCTCTCATATCCAGGTACCAACATGACTACAACAAAACAGCAAAACCCACTATGTGTCAATATCCCATGTCAAGATCTACAAAATAAATATCCGAAAACCAGAAAGGATTTGTTGATTTAACTATTTGTTCACTAGTCTATTTGTAATTCAGAAGTCTATATCACTGAATTTTGACTCTAACAGGTTCTCAAGCAGCATTTTTCTTGCTTTCCCTAGCTGTAAATAATGTAATTATTACTGATGGAAATATTTGTGGATTTGTGTGTGTATAGTAAAGTGCCTAAGTATCCCCTGGAACCACGGTGAAAGTTGCTTCCCCCATCCCCACCAAAATCTGAACTGGGTCAGGAGTGACCAGAGGGCTGCAGAAGGGCCATGGGCTCGGGCAAGATGCAGGCCCCGTCTGACAGCACGGAGCCTGCCTTGAGCTGCAGGCCAAGCACAAGAGACAAGTGCAGCTGTGGCAGAAGCTAAGGGAGCTGCCAGTGGTGTTATACCAATAGAATAAAAACCAGCAGGATCTTATTAAGAGGGATAAGGCAAAGATGCCACATTTATTGTAAATATGATAAAGCAAAAGATAAAAGTAAACAACGTTGTTTGACTACTTATTCCTATCACTACTTATTCCTTACACACACACACACACACACACACACACACACACACACACACACAA